TTAATGCAAGGAGAAGGAAATGGCAACCCACTTCAGTCTTCTTGCTGGGAGAATCCCATGGATGGAGAAGCCTGGTGGGCTATAGTTCATGGGGTTGGAGAGAGTTGGACACAACTGAAGTGACTTAGCATGCATGCACTTCTGTAATGGGATAGCATTTCCACCAGCTGCTTATATTTGCATAAGGAAGTGATACTGGTGCTATTTTTTTAAATTAATTAATTAATTTGGCTGTGCCAGGTCTTAAGCACTCGGGATATTCAATGTGTTGTGGCATGCGGAATCTTTTAGTTGTGGCATGTGGGATCTAGTTCCCTGAGAAGGCTTCGAACCCGGGCCCCCTGCATTGGGAGTGCTGAGTCTTAGCCAGTGGACCACCAGGAGAGTCCTAGTACTATTCTTACCTGGTGGCCGCCACATCTGTGAGCCAATGGAGTGGATCCAAATACTATCTTTCTACCACTTACAAGCTGGATAAAATCATCTGTTTCTGAGACAGATAAATCAAGGTCCAAAATATCTTCCAGCACTTCCTGAGGCAGTGAAAAAAAACAAACAACAAAAAACTTCTTACAAACTTAAGTAATCCTTTGATAGTTTTTGAGAAAATAAACTTTATGGAAGAAGGAAAATTAAAAGAATAAACTTCTTACAAAATTACATTAATATCTTACCAGAAGAGACATACCATACTTTCTAAGATTATTTATGCTACTTGGGAAAATTAATTCTATTAGATAGTTCTAAAATTTTTGTGGATTTCTTATTATGCATGGTAAAATAATATTCTTCCTAGCACATATTCTTTCAAGGAAGTAGAAAAAAGTAAATGTCCTATCTTTTTTGATCTCAAACTCATTTATATCTTGAAAGAACAATTTAGAATTTGTTATTAGAGCCCCTTTCTAAGAATTTAACTCATTTACCTCTTTTTTTTTTCCACAAAAGTGTGTTTTCCTTATAAGATAATTTTAAAATGAAACTGAGTTCTAGTCCCAGGAATAAGTATAAAAAAGTGATTTCTAAGAATGACATTCTCCAAGTTATAACGTTTAAACACAAATCATTTATCAATAGACTAACAAGTTAACTACGAAAAAAGTTACTAATTTTTTAGACAAAATTATAGTGAGTTAAGTATTTGTGCTGTGAAGAAGTAAAGCCTAACCTTTGAAACTGCTACAAGACGTACTCTTGATTGGAAAGGAGTAGAGAAGGCAATTGAAAAAACAGTTTTTCACTTTATGCACATTATTTTCTTTAACAGGATCAGCTGGCAACACAGCTGATAAAAAAAAAAAAGACCTTCTTAATGTTCTCATTTGTTGCATATACAGCATTAGAAAGGCTTATACATATATACATATACATCCTTAGAAAGGCTACAGTTCAAGAAAATCGACTTAAACTACTACTTTGTTCACACTTTGCTATTTAAAGCTATCCTATTATTTTCAACCATTTTCTGATCCCAATCTCATGAGAAACTTCAAAACATTTGATACATGCCTGTTCACAATGCTAGAAATTTAAAAATTGCCTCTAAATAGACATGTTTCATAAGGTCCATACACTAAAGTACATATTTTAAAAGCTGTAGAGGAAAAAGGAGAGCTTTGAACATGTTTACTTTTAAGTATAATTCTTAAAACCTTAATGTTTTCCTAATCTAAAGCAATTAAACAAAAATATAAAAGAGACCAGGTGGATTACTAAAAGATATAAGAAACACAAAAATCTATGTTTCTGGATAAAGATATTATCAAGTTGTCACTGTCACCAAATTATTTACCAAACATTATGGAAATCCAATCAAAATCCTAGAATTTCTTTTTTGAAGAAACAAAGTGTAAATATAGGAAAATAAAGACTTTTTTTAAAATAAGAGAGAGGAGCTTATCATTTTCAAACTTATAAAAATATTGCTATCCCCAAAATAGATGCAAAAATCAATGGGACTCCAAAAGCACAGAAAAAGTAATGTAAGAGTTCCCTGTATAATGAAAATGATTATTTTGAATCTGTGGAGAAAGGTGGCATCAGGTTGATTTGCTAAACTGTTTGGAATACCTCCTATTTATTCCACCCAAGCCTAGGTGAACTAAATACCAGTTATAATAGAAACAAGAGAATTCTTATATCTCCTCCATGGGAGTAAAAAACAGGCAAATGTGGGTCAGATTTAGGTTTTCATAGTTTTCCCTAACTACATAGTGAATAAGGCAGCATCGTGGGGAATTATCCACCAAGAAAACCTCTGACTAGTAGTAGATGATCCAAACGCTTGTTCCTGCTAGGAGAGCCACTGTGTGGAAATAGGCTAAATTATATAATAAAGGCATTTTCTTTTACAGTGCTATACAATTTCAGTAGCGCGTGGCAAGTATATGATATTTAACTGATAGTTATGATTTTGTACTGATGGACTCATACTTTGGCAAGGTAGTTCAGCTAATACCTGTGATCATTGACCATGGAATAAAGACTGCTTCACAGGCACCCAGTCCTCACCCTTATTACACTTAGCCAACTCATCAGTCAGAGACCAAGACCCAGCAAAAATTCCAAATATATGTTAACCCTTTTTGGAGAAATTGGTAATAGAAGTAAGGGTATCGTTCCAATTCTTCAGAATTCAGTGGGGCCTCGGAATATGAAATGCACAAAAATTGCTAACCTTTCAGTGCAACTATGTTTGAACCACTTCTCTCAGTAAATGTTCTTATCACAGTTATATTGATAATTTTATCAGTTATCAAATAACCTCAAAACGAGGTATTTCTATGCAGTACTATGAAATAAGGCATGGTTAATACATACGTAACATTTTATATATAATCCTTCCTTGGCTGTAAAACCTAGTCCTACCTAGTGTTATGAACAGTATCTTCATGATGGAAATGTAGCCAATGCTGCAATATCAAAATAACTTTGAAAATGTTTTTAGCAATACACTTATTCCATTTTTATCAGTGTTGCTAGTTGTTTCTTTTGTTTAAATGCAGTGAAAGACTGCACAAAAGGAGTCTCTTCTTTGGCAGTTAATTGCTCAGCATAGACAGTGTGTTAACTTCCTAGACGCATGCTTAACTTAGTTGGGTCAGAAGAATTACTTTGTATTCTCTGGTGTCCAGTTGGTGGGTTATTGTTCATCAGAAGTTGATTTATAATGTTGGAGGCCTTGACTAATTTCAGCTGCTTTCCCTACTTAGCTTTGCCATTACTGCATCTTTGTAAGAGCCAGGTTGTTGCTTTAATCTGGCAAACAATGTCTCAATGAAAATAGCTTAACAGAATCATGCAGAGCCCTGCTTTACCAACTATGTGAGCTTGGGCAAGACACTTAATTGCTTTACATCTGTCTCCCTATCTAGAAAAAAGGGCAAAGGATACTATTTGAAGTCACAGGATTGTTGCAAGTTCAAACGTTTACTGCACCTCTATTTTGGCAAATTCTACCTGTTGGTTATTTCTTAATATGTAAACCTAGACCAAGATAAGCCACCAGGTGCATAGTAACAACCTTAAACTAAAGCACCTGACACATTTTTTACATAATTTTCAATATTGGAGTGGGGGAACAGCTCAATAAAATGGACATTAAAAAATTGTATTATATTATATTATAAAATATATTATATTATATTCTTTTATTCTTTTATTCAGCTGTACTTTGAAGATAAATCTAAAAATACTGTGCTCAGCTATTTGGGAACTTATGTTTTTTTAAGTGCAAAATGCATGTGCAAAATGCATGGGTGAGAAGAACAAGAAAAAAATATCAGAGAATCACAGTTGTCTGCTTGCTGGTCTGTTTTCTAATAGGAGAGTTGTTTTTTTGTTTCTTTTTGAGGAGGACACAGCAAGTTTCTATTTCTGTATCCCTGATGCTTACACTGTCTCTGATCAACTTTGCGGGTTTATGTGCTTGTGTTGATTGATTAATTATATCACAACTTCTGTTATAAAGGCTCAGACGGTAAAGAATCTGCCTATGCGGGAGACCTGGGTTCGATCCCTGGGTGGGGAAGATCCTCAGGCGAAGAGAATGGCTACCCACCCCAGTATTTTTGCCTGGAGAATTCCATGGACAGAAGAACCTGGAGGTCTACAGTCCAAAGACGCCCTGTCAGTACCATGACAAGAATGGATGTGGACATATGATTAAGAAAAGGACTCTCTAACCTTTCTCGGGTATTAGTCTAGTCCATTCTCCAGTATCCCCTGGGCTGGTTACAAGTAGCTTCAACATTATCAAATAGGAAACAACTCCACACAACTCAGTACACGCACGCGCGGGACTCACATATCCAGATGTGAGCAAGACCGCCAAACTAGACCACGATATATCTATGAGGTTTTCAGAGGAGAGAGTCCAGAAGTCGAGAAACGAAGCTAATCTAGCTCCTCTTTCACAATAGCCCTGCTCGGGATTTGACCTGTTCCTGGAAAGATGCGAAAGATGGCATTTCCTTGCAAGCTAGGTCTCCATAAAGAACCGACAACGGCGTGGCAAGTGACGCCCAAGAGAAGCAGCGGCGGAAACTGGAGCCTCCAAATTAGGCAGCAAAACGGGAACCCGATCCTCTGCGTCCTATTTCCGCCTAAAAACGCAGAAGGAAAGTTAAGGACTGTTCGTCGGGCGCCCTGTAGCATTTCCAGGAGACAGCTGGTTTCCGCCAGGGGTAGATTTTGGCGGTGACTGCCGGAGGCACAGGCTGGACGGTGTCGGGAGAGGCCGCTTCCCGGGAGGAAGATCCCGCTGGTTTCTCCCGGGCCGGCGGCCGGCGGAGGTACGAAGGGTCCAGCCGCCGCGGAGTAACCTTTGTGGCCGCCCCTCCAGCTCTCCAGGTAGACAGTCCTCCGTAAGGAGAGCGAAAGAGCGGGTCGTGCGAAGCCAAGCTCTTCCGGTGCCGGACTTCCGGCTCCGGGTCATGGGAGGAGGGGCCGCCGGGCCAGAGGCGGAGCCGCAGCCCTGCCGCGACTTTCAGACTCGGACCATGGCCTCGTGCTGGTGGCGGTGGCGGTGGCGGCGCGGCTGCTCTTGGAGGCCGGCGGCGCGGAGCCCCGGGCCCAACTCCGCAGGCCGCGCGGCACTCTCTGCGCCGCGGGCTGCCGCCGCCGCTGCCACTGTCGCCGTCGCCCGCGCGCAGGTGAGGTCGGGGAGCGCACGCCGCGGCCGGCCGCAGAGGTCACGGCGCCAATGACAGCGGCGCCACGGAATGAATGGGGCGCAGGCTGCACGCTTGGCGGGCGGGGACCGTGGGGTCGCGCTGGGATGCAACCCTTAGTTGGCGGGGCTCCGAGGATGGGACCGAGCAGAGGGGTGGGCGCCCGGCGTCCGCCTGAAATGGGGGTGTCCCGCGCGCGGCTGCAGAGCGGTGTTCTGGGACCGGGGAGCCTCTTGGGTGTCAGAAAGGGGCGACGAGGAGCCGGGTCCAGGGCATCGCAGGTGTGGCCCAATTTTCTCCTGGAGTCTGTGTAACGTGTGGAGAGCGTCTGCAGGTGTTTCCTTTCGAGTTAACAGTCAAGGTTTCGGGGGCAACCGAACTTAATTGGGATTTAAGGGCCAAAGGTGCTCTGAGCGCTCAGAGGTGCGGAGGGCCGGGGTAGCCTCGGAATAGGTCTCGTGGAGAACGCGGGGCTGATGCTCAGAGTGAACAGGAGATCGGTTGTGCGGTAGTTGCTTCGGAGGGAGGGCACAACTGAACGGGCTGGAAGAAGAGCCCCAAGGGTGTCGTAGAAGTGGAGAAAGCTTGATGTTTAAGTCTGACTTCTCGAAGTAGAGTCAGAGTCTGAGTACTAACCGTGGACTCTGGTGTTCTCTCTTGCTGCCTTTGGACTCCTATCTCTTTTTTTCTCCCTTTGTAGTCAGTTCAGCTTCTGTGTATTGACAAGTTTCTGGCTCTCTGAATCCTGTTCTGCACTGTAGTGATTAACTTGCTGTAGGCTAAGCTCGTATTGGATAGTATAACCACGCAAGATCGATGGACTCACTGTCTTTTGGAGACTTCTCCTGTCACATAGTAATTGTTATGTGTTTGCTTCTCATCTGCAAGGCTTATTTTTTTAAAAAAGTTTATCTCCCAGTATGAAATACATAGCATTTCTAAGTGTCTGCTTTTGGATGCATATGGGTACATATATCACAACTTATTCAGAACAGACACTTGAAGAGAGAATGGCAGTTGGGCTGGTCCCCGGAAGAGACAGTAAAGAGAGAATATGGGGAATAGAGAGACTGTGGGATCCGTGTAGGTGCTGTCCTAGCCAGGCTTCAGATATTCCTAGTACTGCAAATAGGATGTTACTTGCAGAGAGGGATGCACCCACCACTGATGACATAGATTCTTCTTTGATGCTCCTGTTTTTAAAAAAAAAAAAAGACAATCCATGCCCATTAAGCAATTAGCTACACAAATGGTGCTTTCCTGGAGAGAATTGTTGGAGGAGCTTTGCCGATAATGCCAGTTCTGTATATCTCTCTTTTTTATTCATTTTACTTATTTATTTGTTTATTTGTTGGCTGTGCTGGATCTTGCTGCGTGGGCTTTTCTCTCATTGCAGCGAGCGGGGACCACTCTCCAGCTGTAGTGCATTGGCTTCTCTTTGTGGAGCACCGGCTCTGGGGCGTGAAGGCTTCGGTCGTTTCGTCACATGAGCTCAGTAGTTGGTCTCCCTGGCTCTGGAGCACAGGCTCAATAATTGTAGCACGTGGGCTTCGTTGCTCCCCAGCATGTGGAATCTTTGGGACCAGGGATCGAACTCGTGTCTCCTGCATTGGCAGGCAAATTCTTTTAACTCTGAGCCACCAGGGAAACCCCAATACCGTCTCTTTCTGATTTTTGTGTCAGTGGTGTTTTTCACTGTAAATCACTTCTGGTGCCTGCCTTAGGAGAGGGTGTGTTCTGGCCAGTTCAAGCCTCCCAGGGCCTGAAGGCCCTTAGGGACAAAGTGCAGGAACGGTAAAGCCACGCCGGGCTCTCCCAGCAAAACTCCACTCTTAACTCCAGTTTGTACGTTCTCTCAACCTCTTCACTGGGTGTGTTCACATACCTTGTGATAGGACAAAAACCAGGGTTTGTCTGATTGTGCCAAATCACTGGTATGTCTTGATTCTTACTCAGCCTTTTTTTTTTTTTAAAAGTAACTTCATGGGAGGCAAGTTGAATTTCAGGGGAGAGTATGAGATGGAAAGATAGAAAATCAGATTTGGGAGATGGTTGATGTTTGCAGTAGTCATGGCCCCTAGGTGGCCCCGGTTCCACAACACCCTTTTAATACAGCTCTTCTGTGTTATCTCTAACCTCACTTCACAAAACCTCAGCCAAAGATAGCTTGGCTGATAGCTTGGCTGAATACATCCTATAAATGTTCATAGCTAGGAGCTTTATGTGTAATTGCTTAATTAGTCCTAGCATCTTTGCCATAGATTTTATCAGAAAGCTGTCTCAAGGTAACTAGTAGGAAATGTTGGGATTTGAGCCAAAATCCACCTTCTAGGCTTTAAAACAAGTTACACGTTGCTCAGTGATTACGAGCCCTCTGTGCTAGCTGTGTAATTTTAACTCTTCACTGCACTTAGAGATTAGGTTTCAAATTGAGTAAGTATTATAATAAATACTAAATTCATGTGAATTATTTACATGCGAAGTCTGAAGAAGTAGGTTAAGTGTCACGTTGGGTTGAATTCAAAGGAGGTTTGTTAGTTTTTTTCTTTAAGACATTGTAATGCCTGGGACATCATTAATGGATTTGTAATGCCATGGGGAAGATACAACTCTGGGCCACTTTCTTCGACCACTGCCTGCCAGGCAAAGTCAGCGTTTATTATCATTTTATTTTATTTACTTTTTAAAAGAGTGGGCCATTTAAAAAATTATTTGACTGCCTTGGGTCTTAGTCGAAACACATTGGATCCTTCCTTGCAACGTAGGGAGGATGCCTTGCTTCAAGGTGTGTTGGATCCTGGTTCCCTGATGAGGGATCGAACCCACATGCCCTGCATTGCCAGGTGGATTCTCCCCCACTTTTCCACCAAGGAAGTCCCTATTGTCATTTTAATACGCTAAAGCAGTGTGTGTTCACTTGAGAAAACTCAGAAAATATGAATTAAAAACGTAAAGCAAAAAAAAACTCCCATGATCTGATCTATTCCAAAATAACCATTTTTAATACCTCCCTTATATGCTTCCAAACCCTGGGTTTTATTTGTATAGTTATACAAAATTTTTGGTGGAATCACATAGTGCACAGTGTTCTGTAGGTGCTTTTTTCTTTTGATGTGTTGTAAACATATCCGTATTATCAGTTTTTCAGACTTTTCTGAATTTCAAGTTCCCTGGCTATATAACACGTAGTTGTCAGAGTTGAGCCCACATCGTAGGACGTTATTGTAAAGTCTTGGTTGTAAGACCAATACAGTGGATTCGTTTTCTTCTTGCTAGTGCTAAGTCTGTCCTTGGTCAAAATATTTTCCTTAAGTATCCTATCAGAGTCCTTCCTACACCAGATTAGTCGTTTTTGAAATGCCTGTGTCCCTGAATTCTTCAAGTTTGGCTGCTGTGCCCCTGGGTCACCAGTGCCTGTCACATTTGCTGGCCCGTAATAGTGCTCAGCAATTGTTGTCTGTCGTCACCACAACCTCAGTCTCCTCCAAGCCATCTTCTGTTGTTCTTGATCTCTGATTAAGTTAGTATTATCAAAATGTGCTGCTGAGCTTGTTTGTTAACACTACTTTTCAAGAAGTACCATTCCCAAGTATATTCAGGAACGGTGGCTTGACATAGGCAGTGTTTGTCTAACTAAATTTCTCAACCCTGAAATCCTCTTTCACTGTCTGGGCAGGTGCTTTGGGGATCTTGATTATTGTCTTAAACAATAATCAAGTGTAAGCCACACTAGTCCTTACTACTCTCTGCCCAGTGTTAGTTAAATGGAAGGGAATTTCAGATCTGGAAAGATAGGTATAAATGTGGAGCAGTCTTTGGGGGAAGGGATAGATTATAGATGTTTTCTATTTCCTGCTTTTTTTCATGTTTATATTTTCTGTAATGACAGATACTGCTTTTGTAATATGGAGGGGAAACATCATTTTTTCTGAAGTTTGCAGTCTCTAAATGGACAACTAAAAGATAAAATATTACTATTTTTTATAAATTACAGGAATTCTTATTTAGTGTTATAAAAGTTTTTCATCAATATTCTCTTAGAAGTTTCTTAATATTTTATTTTATAGATGTCCTGTTGTAATCTTATGAAGAGTTTAACATCTGCCTTTCCAAATATGTATCGTGGATCACGGTAAGTTTATTATCTGTATTGCAGCTAAAATTATTAGTCATATATGTTGCCAGTAAATGTCTATTCTAAATTGTGGTGGGCTGTTCAGTTCAGGAAATTGAATGTGCTATTTAAGTGTCATAATACCTGCTTTATGTGATCTTGGTCTTCTTAAAAAAAAACAACAGTCATCCATTGGTGGGGCGGAGGGGAGGAGGGGACATTGGTTCTAGAGCACTCTCACCTCAGATACCAAAATTAGGGATGCTCAAGTCCTTTATTGAAGAAGGCAATGGCACCCCACTCCAGTACTCTTGCCTGGAAAATCCCATGGATGGAGGAGCCTGGTAGGCTACAGTCCATGGGGTCTCGAAGAGTCGGACACGACTGAGCGACTTCACTTTCACTTTTCACTTTCATGCACTGAAGAAGGAAATGGCAACCTACTCCAGTGTTCTTGCCTGGAGAATCCCAGGGATGGCGGAGTCTGGTGGGCTGCCGTGTGTGGGGTCGCCCAGAGTCGGACACAACTGAAGCGACTTAGCAGCAGCAGCAGCAGCAGCAAGTCCTTTATATAAAATGGCATAATATTTGCATATAACCTACACACATCATCTCTTACACTTTGTCATTTTTAGATGACTTATAATACCTAATATAAATGCTATGCAAACAGTTGCCTGAGCATGGTAAATTCAAATTTTGCTTTTTGAAACTTTCTGGAATTAAAATACACACACATACATTTTTCAATATGAGGTTGTTTGAATCCAAAGATGTAGAACCCGTAGATACAGAGGCCCAACTGTATAATAGAATGTAAACTTGGACTTCTCTGGTAGCTCAGGGTAAAGAATCTGCCTGATTCAATCCCTAATTGGGGAAGATCCCATATGCCTCAGAGCAACTAAGCCATGCGCCAGAAGTTTTGAGCCAGCGCCCTAGAGCCCAGAAGCTGAAACTAATGAACCTTTGTGCTGCAGCTACTGAAGCCCGTATACCCTAGAGCTCATGCTCTGCAGCAAGAGAAGCCACTGCAATGAGAACCTGATACATTGCAACTAGAGAAAAGCCCTCACAGCAATTGAAGACCCAGCACAGCGCCCCCCCCCCAAAAAAGAAAATCTGACCTTTAAAAAAATGTTTACACTCAGAACACAGTGAACGTGGTTTATATTTCTTTTGACTTTGTGGTTCCCTAGGTCCTGGTTATGAAAATTGGTGTAGTGTTGAGCAGGATCAGAATTCTATATGATCTTTGAAATTACAATGAGCTTTTTGCATTCATGCTTAATTCCCAGAAAGTATCTAGGCTTAAATTTTCCATCCTCCAGCTCGGTTACATATATGTGTATATGCATAGGTCTGTATAATTCTTACTTAAAAATGAAGTAACTCGGTAAAACAGCGACCAGTCTTCCATTGTGTGCGTTTCTGCTTAGGTTCCATCACGTGACGCCGGTAGCTTGCTGCTGCAGTAAGACACAGAGCGGTGAGAAATACAGCGACCCTTTTAAGCTTGGCTGGAGAGACTTGAAAGGTCTCTATGAGGACATCAGGAAGGTAAGAGATCTTTGATGGTACTCTGAAGTGAGGTTGATTTCTTTGAATTACGAAAAAACAGTGCAGGTTTCCCCATGGGTGGCATGCCGTTGCAGACCTGATTCCCAAATGTCTGGTTTTAAATGCTTCTTGAGCAGTGAGTATGGGGCAGTATGGAAGATGTGATACATGTCACCACCCAGAGGCAGGAATGGGAAACTTGAAAAAAAAGAAGGTTCAGGCCACAAGTGCACGTCCACAGAGTCCTCTGACTCTTTCCCCTCAGGTCGGTCGCCTGCACCTGGCCTGGGGCAGCTCTGAAGCCTCCCACGCCTGCTGCCACTGTCCTCCTCTCTGATTCTGAATATCAGTGCCCCAGACAGGGCTTTCTTCATCAAGCATTCTGTTCCCCAAGCCTTCAGTGGCCCCCAGCCTCACGTGGAGTACCCTCTGTTGCCCAAGATGCTCAGGTGCCCCTGGTCAGCTTCCTCCCCCTTTCAAGGTTCTGCATTTACCCCCTCCAGCCCCCGCCCCACTCTCCTGTCTCCACGCCTCCACCGCTTCCAGTCCTCGGAACCACGCAGAAGCTGTGGAGGACGAGCTCCCTGAACGCCCGCTCTGGGCCCGTTACAGTCCCCGCCACGGCTGTAGCCTGCCTCCTCCAGCGTCGTCCCTGTGTCTCTGATTAAGTGCCATGCCCTTTGCCTCCCCCTTGGGGCCCTAGGTTTTCTCCCCCAAGTCCCGGTTCTCCATGTTTGTCTGCAGACGTGCCCTCCTCATTCTCTTCTGGATCCATTTCAGATGCTCCAGCTTCTTCCTGTTCATCTTGTAAAGGACCATCCCATCACCCTGTGTCCTCCCGGTTCCATTCCAGTATTCCCAGCCTTTCTCTGTCTGTTCTGCCCCTTCACCACGGCTCCACCACCGCCCTTTGCCTTCCTATCCAGCCTCTCACCTGAAACTGCCTTTGCCCGCTTCTGCTAAATCCAACAGGCCCTGCTGGCTTGTATCTTCCAGACTCTCTGAACGCTGGACCGCGTTCACCACAGCCCTCCTGTGAAGCCGGCCCTTGGCTTCTGCACTGTCCCTGTGCTCCTCAGGCCATCCGTCAGTCGGCTTCCGGGGCTCCTCTCTGTCCCCTCCAGCCCACCCCCTTTGATGTTGCCGTTCCCTGGGGTCGTTTGCTCCTCTGCTCCGTCTTCAGTTTACCCGTTTCCGTGCTCAAGACTCCCGTGTAGAGGCCCTGGCCTAGAATGAACGTTCTCTCCTAAACTCTGCCTGCTCCCTGGGCAGCGCTATGGAGTTGTCCATCACTGGCTCACACTGGCAGATCCGAAGCTCCGCTCCTTCCTACGAATTGTTTTTTCTCTCGTTTACCCTGTTGATGCGAGGTTGTCACCCCAGACCTTGGGGAGGACCCTCGACTCGGCCCTCTCCTTCCCCTCCACACCCTCCTCATCTCATCTCTCTCTCTTTTGAAAGCTGTTTTTATTTTTGGTTGTGCTGGATCTTGGTTGCTGATCTTTGGGTTTGTCTCTAGTTGCGGCAAGTGGGGTGCTACTCTCGAGTTGGAGCACCCAGGCTTTTCACCGTGGTGATTTCTCTTGCAGAGCCTGGGCCCTAGGTGCACAGGCTCCAGTAGCTGTGGTTCTCAGGCTTAGCTGCTCCGCGGCACGTGGGACCTTCCCGGACCAGGGATCAGACCGGTGTCGCTGGCACTGGCAGGCAGGTTCTTACCCGCCGGACCCTCAGGGAAGTCCCGCGTCGGTATCTGGCCTTCAGTCCCAGCCCTGGGTTTCCGTCACCCGCCGCCCCTGCCCTCGCCCCCCCGGCCTCAGGCTGAGCCAGAGGTGCCTCCTGTGTGCTCCCAGCAGCAGCCCTCAAGTCCAGGACAGGAGTCCTCACCCTGCCACGCTCCACTGCGGTCCTGTTTCCCTTCCCCGGCCTAGACTCTGAGCTCCCTGTAGACCGGAGATTGTCCCGTTTATCTCGGAAGCCTCTGCGTTTGTTATCGCCTTGGCCCCGAGGGAGTGCTGGGCCTGCTGGATCGTGTGCGCTTGAGCCCTGTGAGGGGCTGCCGGGCCCGTTCGTTGCTCCTGAACACAAGCTCTGATTCTTCCCAGCAAGTCCCTGAGGGAAGAGACAGGAGACCCACGTGCCCACCCCCAGGACAGCTCTCCCTCCTCTTCAGGAAGCAAAATCCTCCCTAGCCTCTGTTCCCAGGCATAGCTTGTCTCCTCCATGGAGTGCTCGCTTTTTCTCGTCCACACTGATGGCTCCATTCTTTGAACCTTAATGCATTTAACATACGGCCATTATTCAAGTTGCCACCATATCATTCACTGAATTCATATTTTAAAACATTTTGCTTCCCTAATGCCATCGTAGGAGAAGGCAATGGCACCCCACTCCAGTACTATTGCCTGGAAAATCCCATGGACAGTGGGGAGCCTGGTAGGCTGCAGTCCGTGTGGTCGCTAAGAGTCGGACACAACTGAGCGACTTCACTCTCACTTTTATGCATTGGAGAAGGAAATGGCAACCCAACTCCAGTGTTCTTGCCTGGAGAATCCCAGGGACAGGGGAGCCCGGTGGGCTGCTGTCTATGGGGTCGGACAGAGTCAGACAGACTGAAGTGACTTAGCAGCAGCAGCAACAATGCCATCGTAAGCTCCTTGCAATCATGTATATCTTTTGTTGCACACTTTCCCTGTGAACCTTTGGCTTGTGCGGCTGAGAAATGCCTGAACCAGACTGACGCCGCCCTCGTCTCTTCTCATCTCGTCTGCCACCCCCTGCCCTTCTGCTTCACTGGCTCCCACACTCCGCCTCTTTGTCCTCCTGCCTCCGTCCTCCAGGCTGCAAGCAGCTCTGTTTCTCTCCGGCTCCAGCTGTCACCAGCCATCTGGCGCCCCCCGCCGCCGTCACTCAGAGTCTCCACCAGTGGCAGGCCCCCCAGCACCCCGGCCCCTGGCGGGGGGTGGCCAGACGCTGCTTGCAGCCACACGGTGTTGGCACCTCTTCCCGCCGAGTGTTGGGTTTCCCCGTTGAAATGAATGCACTAAGATCAAAGCTGTGTGAAAAAAATTCCACTGACGTTTTGTGTAGTTATGCTGCCCTGTTGACGCAGAGAAACTTTGTTTCAGGAGCTCTTCATCTCTACAGCAGAACTCAAGGAAATGTCTGAATACTACTTCGATGGAAAAGGAAAAGCCTTTCGACCAATTATCGTGGTGCTAATGGCCCGAGCCTGTAACATTCATCATAATAACTCCCGGTGGGTTATTTACTTTGTCTCCTCTGTTCTCTATTCGGCAAACCTTCCTTCCCAAGGTTACCATTTATTTTCTTGTTTAACTAGTACCTTGTGTCTGCGAACTCGCTTTGTGGCGGGTAGTTTCCAGCTTTGTGTTCCCAAGGTCACCCTGGAGTCTAGTCTGGGCATCTTCCTTTTCCACACTATTTAATATCCATGGAAGAACAACTTCAGCAGCAAATAAACATTTTAGAAAGAATTTTCAAAGCTACATTGAGTTTTCTCATGCAGAAGTAAAGAATGCCAGCATGGGAGAAGGCAACGGCAACCCACTCCAGTATTCCTGCCTGGAGAATCCCATGAACGGAGGGGCCTGGTGGGCTACAGTCCATGGGGTCACAAAGAGTTGGTCACGACTCTGATTTCACTTTCACTTTTCTTTCTCCCACCCAGTAGTTCTTGGAGATCCAGACTTGGGGACCTCAAGGAGAACCAGTAAAACTTCAAATAATTATTGAGGGCTAAGAACACACACAAAGAAGCACAACTGATGTATCACCTTTTTTTTTTTTTGGCAAAACAAAGGGCATGTAAAAAAGTAGGAAAAAGGCTCAGAATAAACTGTAAACTTCCTAAAAAAAAAAAAAAGAATGCCAGCATGTATGCATACTTGTAACTGTGGTACACACAGGGCCATTATTCCGAAGGTTGATGGTTATAAAGTCATGAGTTAGGCCCAGATTCTGGCCACCACACCCCCTGCAGGACCTGACTTCCTGTGGCCTTCAGAAACATGCCAAAGAAAATTTTTCTTAAAAGAAGGCATTTTGACTTTTGGCCTGCAATTTCTCTGTTGCAAATAAAAATGTAAAATTTTCAACTATTAAAACAACTGCCATGTTTTAATATGAAGGAAACCTTGAAATGAAAGAGGATTTACCTATTGCCATTATTCTTAAAACTCTTTGTTAACTGGAGTGTCTTCACTGTGTTTATTTTTGCATCATGCAGTCTGCTGAGGACACTCCAGTGGACCCTAATGTACTGGCACATTTGCCTGGTGTTGAATGTCTGCATTCTGCTCCCTTTTATCTGTAGATAGCTCAAGAAAAGATGCAGACCTTAGGGAGGGCCTAAGGTTTGCCATGCTGGGAAAGACCAAAGACAGGAGAAGAGGATGACGGACGGTGAGTGGTTGGATGTTATCACCCAGAGTTCAATGGATATGAACTTGGGCAAACTCTGGGAGATGGTGAGGGACAGGGAGGCCTGGCGTGATGCCGTCCATAGGGTCGCGAAGAGTCGAACAAGACTTGGCAACTGAATAACAGCAGCAAAGCTTTGCCAGCACCAAATTTAAGGATGTTGTAAGGGTGGGCGTCAGGTGTTGCTTCTTAGCACACGCTGTGCCGCTCTGGCTCCAGGACAGGACTCTGCTCAGGGGCACCTCCCATTTGTTCTGAGACTTTCTAAGTGCTCACAGGTGAGCCTCAACAAGCAGCGGGACCTCTGGGGGCAGCTGTTTTCCCATCATCAGGACCACTTCACCTAGAAGGCAGAGCAGCAGAAATGCTCCCTCTGAACCATACTTGAAATTCCTCTCATGAGGTCTGGAACTGGGTTCCTCAGCCTTGCCTCTGCTGACATTTGGGGCCAGCACAGAGTCGGACACGACTGAAGCGACTTACCAGCAGCAGCAGCAGCAATCCTTTGCTATGGGGACTGTTCTGGGTCTTGTAGGGCATTTGGCAGCTGTACCTGGCCTCCATCCATTAGATACCAGTGGTACCCCTTCCCCAGTCGATGACAACTGAAAAATGTCTCCAGACAATGCCAGGTGTCCCTTGAGGAGCAGAATCGTCCCTGGTTGAGAACCTCTGGTCTAGAGATAGTGTTTATATCTTTAATGCCTCAGATTAACATCTGATACAGCCCATCACCCTCAGAGATGACATCAGAAGGAAAGTGTTCTGCGTTGCTTGCTTTAAATCCTGTCAGCTGTTACCCCATTGTCAGAGCCTTCAGTCTATGTCATTGAAACTGTAGAAATTATTGGTGTGCAGGAATAAATGGGAAACTATGATACAGAAAAGGCATTGCTGGTTTGAAAAGTGAAGTTCCATTCTGCCTTCCCTGGGGATATCCTGGTCCAGCTTCGTTCTCCCTGTGGTGGGAGCAGGGGTTACTGAAGACTCAGCACAGAGCTGTGTCCAGCGTTGAGATGTGCGTCGTGACTGGTGTGCATTCGCCTAGCACGATTAGTCTCCAAGTTCCAACTTCTTGGGAAGACTCACTTCCTAAGGACCCTTGTGGATCAGGCACTTAATGGACCGGGTGTCTTCCCACTTAAAGCAGCAGCAGGTTGGGAGCAGGAGGAGAGCTTCTGGAGAGCCAGGGCCATCTGTGGTTTTGCTGTAAGAGGTTTATTAGAGCAGTGTGAGCAAAGGCGGCTGAAGATCCTAGGCGGGGCCCCACAGGCGTGTTTGCAGCGGAGGCCCCAGAACCTGTTCACCTCTGGAACTACCTCCTTGTCAGTGTCGGCAGAATTGCTTCACATGTGACAGTCGAAGTTGAGTGGCTCCTCTAAGGCTTGTCAGACACCTTCATCCTACTTCTGTGCATTAAATAAGTTAAGGGTGATCCTGGAGGGGACTTTAGAAAACAAAATAGAAACCTTAAGAAATGGGGGGGAAATGACCTTCTGTTGCTTTATTTTTTTCCTTCATTAAGCTTTTTCACTTGTCCATTATACATTCCCTACTAGATTGTTGAGAATCTTAACCTGAGGTCCATGGGAGTTGGCGGGGGGGGCCCTGTGAGCCCCTGGAAATCGTATACAAAATTTGTACGTTTGCATTTTTCTAGGGAAAGTTAGTTCAGTTCAGTTGCTCAGTCACGTCCAACTCTTTGCAGCCTCACGGACTGCAGCACACCAGGCCTCCGTGTCCATCCACAACTCCCGGAGCCTGCTCAAACTCATGTCCATTAAGTCGGTGATGCCATCCAACCATCTCATCCTCTGTCATCCCCTTCTCCTCCTGCCTTCAGTCTTTCCCAGCATCATGGTCTTTTCCAAGGAATCAGTTCTTCACATCAGGTGGCCACAGTATTGGAGCTTCAGGTCAGTCCTTCCAAAGAATATTCAGAACTGATTTCCTTTAGGATGGACTGGTTGGATCTCCTTGCAGTCCAAGGAACTCTCAAGAGTCTTCTCCAACACCACACTTCAAAAGCATCAATTCTTCGGTGCTCAGCTTTCTTTATGGTCCAGCTCTCACATCCATACATGACTACTGGAAAAACCATAGCTTTGCCTAGACGGACCTTTGTTGGCAAAGTAATGTCTCTACTTTTTAATATGCTGTCTAGGTTGGCCATGGCTTTTTTTCCAAGGAGCAAGCATCTTTTAATTTTGTAGCTGCAGTCACCATCTGCAGTGATTTTGGAGCCCAAGAAAATAAAGTCTGTCACTGTTTCCACTGTTTCCCTATCTATTGCCGTGAAGTGACAGGATCGGATGCCATGATATTCGTTTTTTGAATGTTGAGTTTCAATCCAGTTTTTTCACTCTTTCATTTTCATCAAGAGCTTCTTTAGTTCTTCACTTTCTGCCATAAGGGTGGTGTCATCTGCATATCTGAAGTTATTGATATTTCTCCCTCCAATCTTGATTCCAGCTTGTGCTTCAACCACCCCAGCATTTCACATGATGTACTCTGCACATAAGTTAAACAGGGTGATGTACTTCTTGACGTACTCCTTTCCCAGTATGGAACCAGTCTGCTGTTCCAAGTCCGGTTCTAACTGTTGCTTCTTGACCTGCATACAGATTTCTCAGGAGGCAGGTCAGGTGGTCTGGTATTCCCATTTCTTGAAGAATTTTCCACAGTTTATTGTGATCCACATAGTCAAAGGCTTTGGCATAGTCAATAAAGCAGAAGTAGATGTTTTCCTGGAATTTTCTTGCTTTTTCTGTGACCCAACAGATGTTGGCAATTTGATCTCTGGTTCCTCTGCTTTTTCTAAATATAAACCTTTTCCAAGGGAAAGTATACATGGCTTGTATTGTCAAAGGGTGGTGTAGCCCCAGAAGCTTAAGACTTAATCTTTAGTTTTCTTCTGTGTATCCTGACAACCGCAGCACCTGGCCAGGTGCAGATAAGGAGACTTGAGCGTTCAGAACACAGAGCCGTGGTGGACTCCGAGCCATGTGCCCCGAGCATGCCTTAAATGAAGGACCTTCTGCCCACGCCGCCGGAAAGCCTTTGCTTCTCGGGCTCCCTGAGGGCTGTCCCAGCAGCCGAGAGTCCTCTCACCTGAGCCTGTCCACATCCGGGGACTGGTCAATGAAGGGCCATCTAGCGCCGGGACACACGGTGAAATGGCAGCAGCTTCGGACCGGCCTGCCTCGCAGAAATCCCTCCCCCACCGCACGTGCTCATCCCGGGGGTCCAGAGGAGACATCCTGTGCTCTAAACCTGAGAGTCTGCTTCCTGGAGCACCACGCCCTCAAAAGGGTGCAGCAAAACCCAGCTAGCTACCTATGAGTCAGAGCTCACTTGAACAGAGAATCCAGTTGAAAAACAAGCTCTGTGAGAAATAAGATTACTGTGAAATGCTCTGCTTACTGACTATAGCACGATTAGTGTCTCCTCTCCAAGCCAAACCTGACCTCCTTAAATTTAAAGGTACCTGTTCTTACCATTGGTGTTGACATCACCTGTTTCTCTTGGAAGTCTTCCAGCTCTGGAGAGTGGATACCAGTACCAGTGACTGAGATAACAGGCCTCCTCCAGTTACTCAGGGCACGGATCTATGGATCGCGACTGTACAGGCAGTCAAGTGCCACTCAATCCTGTAGTGCACTTTGCAAAGCCAGACATTGGATTAGATAGAACAGATCTATGGTGCAGTTTTGGTTTTGTTTTTGTTTTTTTAATAACGCAGTCTTCACATTAGTTAACAGGTCAAGTTTCCAAATGTGATGAAAGTCTTTTTTTAGTTCTACCACTTTATTGCTA